TCAAAAATGATCAATAACATCTCAGCAGCGTTGGAGTTTAAAAATTATATTTAATCTTGTCGTTATTACTAGAAATAATCGACTACTACCAAAGTACATGTAAGAAAAGCTTGTAAGCCGCGAATCACGAGGTAACAATAAGTTTTCAATGTCATCTTGTTGTCTGGTAATACACCTAAATATAATCAGTGAGATAAAAAATAACCAAAGTTTGCGGTTCTGATGCTGGAGCATGTATGTACAATTTACAAAATCTTGACAAGTGACAAACTTACTAGGTCTATCCAAAAAGCAACGTTTTGCTAACCCTGTACATAGCTTGAATGAAATACACAAAATGAAAAGATGTCTCTTGTTAGGTAGGTTATCAAACGCTTTGCCAAAGTCCTCGTGAACAACATACATTGATTTTCATTAATTTAACAACACATTCCATCACTCACTTCCAATGATCACGTTTTTGATACATGCTGTCTAAGTGTTATATAATTCCGCATATGTCTATGGAGTCGTTTTAATTACTCTTTCTGGTATAACAACAAATGCAATATGAAGAATATTTGGTGATCAATATTTCAGAGATCTGTTATGCCATTCTTCTAAGAATTTAAATTTTGGATCGTCTGCTCATTTTGATTTTACTGTCTAAAGAGCCGAAGACTTGTAGCATTCATTGTCCCTTGCTGTTAAAAGCTTGTGGTTAACTTTTGAAAATATTTTATTTTATTTTAGTTTACTAACAATCTACTAATTCATCCAGTGATGACAGTGCGATGCGTTTATATAACTGTCTTGAATGATTACATGCTATTGTTACCTATGTTACGGAGTCGAAATTCCAGTTTTCAGAAATGATTATGGAATCAACCTTTTTCATCCTATTCTTTCATGTTCTGAGAAGTTGTGATAAGTGCACCAGAGAGACCGTTGAGCAATAACCATGAAATAGATGGACACTTTTATGTTTTGTACTTGATGTAACGCCAAACCACTCTACTAATGACACCCGAACGTTAGACCCCTCCGTTCAAAAATAAGAAGCCGGAAGACGTTGGAGAACGCTTATTATCAGAATCAAAATATACAATCAAACATGCGTATTTATACAATTATATAAATATCGTTAAATATTTTGAACATGAATCAAATAGTTCATCACGAACAGTAATCATAATGTTCATCATTAATGAAATAGTTCATCATGAACATTAATTAAATAGTTCATCAATCCACAATGTGCGTGGCTTTCTTCTCGATTGGCTATCCCAACAGACACTTTATTGCTCAACGCTAAAGGTTGAAAGAACTATATGACTGAAATCATCGCCCTGCTTGTGGACAACGTCCAATACGGATGAGTTATGTTGGTCAAATATGGTGAGACCTCCAAGAGGCTAGGATTAAACTTACACAGTTTTCGTTTTCAGCAGTTTGTAATCAGACAGTGTATTTTTAGGTCTCAATTCTACGTCACGGAACGTCTAGGAGGGTACATAAATGTCATCTATTTTGAGGCATTCGCAATTCCCCATCACGGGCTCGTGGTCATAAGGGGGGAATCACTGTAATTCACTATTTATACTGCGACACACAGAAACTTATTCAATGCCTAGATTATTGCGTTCGAACCAGAAACTCTCCAGTTCATATGTCTTCAATATTTGTGCCCTTGCTTTGAAAACCCGTAATATATTGGTGATTTATATGGAAAAATCATGACGTTACCGGCACTGAGAAGTTGTAAACCAGGTAGTTGAATCCTACTTCCGTTTATCCTCAGCCGTTGTTAAATGAAACACTGTCACACACTTCACAGCAGTTAGGACTCTTATGATCCACAATCTTTCTTTCAGTGGCTTTGATCTTTTTGTTTCACTTTTATATGGTTTATTTCACATACAGTTTCTTTAAATTTATTGATTTTCGACACTCAAATGTTAAACGTTTCGATATTTCAATGAGACACAGCTGTTAATTTGTGTACGTGGAAATACTTGTCTTTGAGCTTTGGATTTAAAAATTACCATTATTTGCAGCAGGATTGAAATGAATTTTAAACGAGATGTTTAGCTGCCAGTTCATAAGAGTCTAGAGTCCTAATCTCCTAATCATCAATACTGAAAGCCATGTAAGCAGCACCCAACCGATCACTCATTATAAATAATTTTGAATCCTGACAAATCATATCGAGTCTTGCTTCATTTCCGTAAACCATTTCACTTTCCAATGAAAACAGATGACCCAGAGTATACATTTTACACACACGTGATAAATGGCCTGATAAACTGTTCGTTGAGGGATTAGTATGGGTGTATGAGGACATAAACGTTGATCATTTTATCCCTAGGAGTATTTCATCCAAGTATCTCAATAGGCGATTGGCTGGTTTCAGACTCATTAGCACTATATACGGGATGAGTTAAGCATAAATGTTGCAAGGCATTTTGTATGGGTATAAAGGAGGATTGGTAATTGAAGCAAATTGCAGGATATGATGATATTTGTTACATGAGATCGGTTGTGAAAGATTATTTATCCTCTTCAGTACGCCAAAGATGATATGTCGAAACTGTATTTTTGATATGAACACATGAATATTTGAATATTTTTTAAGAATGTTTTCAAAAATGAAGTAACAAATTTTGGTTTCATCCGATTACTTTAATACATGTTTGATGAAATTTGACTGAAAATATCCAACTACGATGAAGTGGCGCCAATACAAAATCTAACGTCTTATCTCATTCTAACAAATTGTACTGTTTGTAAGCCTCTCACGGATTTTGTAATTTAAGCAAGTTTTATAAACGTGTGCGCATGTATACTTGGCCATTGTTTACCACTTACTTATATGATCATTCTGTTAGCTTTATTCATCGATTGTTGAAATGGTTTGAAGTCACAATCAATGATATATATTTGTGAATGATTCGATGATGGTATCGACAGTAGGAAGGTGATTGTGCTTACTAACTTTTGACATACAAAGCCTATCATCAGCACACTACAAAGAAGTTGTTATGCTTCAGCTCATTCGCCTTCACTAGAGCACTTCACTGTGCTCGTACTCTTCACGCCCCGATGTCGGTTCAGATGAACGATGATCTATACCGGAGGTCCATTATATCTTTATAGCCCCTGAAATGTGTCAATAAAAACTTTCAAAATCTCACAAATATTTATAAATTTGTGGCTTGAATGAATCGAATCTGAGCTCCTTTATACTTGTGTGGATTGATATGGAATCTGATCCGTCATTTATAAACACGTCGTTCAGCATCCACACCATAAGCCATACTGGTAAATGTTCAATGACTGGATGTTTGATAAGTACCTCTCCTCATTAGTATACAAAAATTGTAGCAAATATTTTTCATGGTGTATGAGGACTTATGATTAGGACCACTTATGCGACTGAAAAAAAATCAAAGCTGTATGAAAATTATCAAAATGAATTTTCTATCTGCTATCTATATTCTGTTTCGTAATATTTGATCTTATATAAATAAAAATGTTGTTCATCTTTCTCATTTCCAGGTATTTTCATGTGTTCTTTTTTTAGGTTCAGTGTATTTAGAATTGAATTCTGGAGTAAGTTGTTATGCGTAGATTTTTTCATTGTTATTTGGTCCAAAGTTCAGTAATACAGTATTAAATACATCTTTTGACGTAAATGACGAATGCGCTTATAAATGCCAGAGAGTGTATTGGATTGTGTTGACTAAACGCTGGAAAAGAGAGAAGTGAGTTTAGAAATTTTCTAAACACAACATAATTTTCTACGATTTTATTTGGGCTATTCTATTCGGCGTTTTATTGCCTTGATTGCGCCCGTACAATGAACTGAATGGATACATTTCATATAGAGAGATGGAACAATAGATAGATAGATGTATGAATAGTTGGTCATGGACAGAGGCAGATATAATTGTGGATGGATTGACTTGTGAGTAGACAGAAAAAGAATGCATAATAATTGTGACTATACGTCGGTCAATAACTGCTCACTATGGTGCATGACTCGGCGATGTCAAACTACCTACTAACGACCGAGAAGTGCTCATGAATGTATACTAATTAATAAAGAGCAGAGAGTGAGGGAAATAAGTGTACGAATAAATATTCATATTTTCATATTATCCATGTCATAATGTTTTGTGATTATCTGTTTCCCAAAATTAAATAGAAGATGGAGTTGCCGATACAGTATAATCTGGATATTCTACCCTTGAAAACTTGGTCCTTTGGTGAAAAATCGGAAGAAAATCTTAAGGCCATCTGTTACAATGCGTGCATGTATGTAGTTTACTTTCATCGAAAATTCAATATTCCATTTGACAGATACATTTCAACTGTATGGGCAAGGCCACATGTAATATCCAGTTTCGTTTTAATGTAAGTTATGAAAGTTTAAAAAATAAATGATTTATTTTGTCCACAACTATTGTCAAACGTCTCCTTAACTGATAAACCGATTGCGATTATTGATTCAACGAACAATACTACGGCAATATCACAATGAATGCCTCAATGAAAATTGCTGCATTTTATAATAACTGTATATCCGATCATCATGACAATCACTTATCAGTTATTTACATTGTCTGATTGTGGTGGTGTTTTGTTCTCTGAGCTGGTTGTTTTGGTTGTGGAGCTTTCATTGTTCTTCTGAACAACATCATCAGCACGAACTTCAGTCTGAACTTCTATCTGAAGTTCGTGCTGATGATGTTGTTCAGAAGAACAATGAAAGCTCCACAACCAAAACAACCAGCTCAGAGAACAAAACACCACCACAATCATCCACCTGAGCTACAAGTTTTCTCCACCATCTCAACATTGTCTGATTCTTCCATTATCTGTCAAACATATCCACATGAAATTATTGCTCATCTGAATTGCTGAATATTTGTTGCAATAAAAAAAACTGCCAAAAAATCATATTTTACTCAATCTACACTTCCATTTATTTTGTCGCACGTCTTATTTTCACATTTAAGCGTTATCGCTATAACTATGGCACTGACTATAATATTCATCAAAGCATTGCACACATCAACTATAAGGAATACCATCATCATGATCATAACCGCAAGTCAAACATGATTTCAGCATATTTTGATGAATTTGTGCATATTTTCATTTAGTTCACAGAAATTCCACTACTATTCAATCTTCCTCTGTATTCACTCTAATAAGCAGAATTAATTCTATGCTTTTATGTGAGAATATCAAAAGTATGAGGGCTGTTTTAGACACAGTGATAACTGTGAAATTGATGACAGATGAATGAAGAGTAAAAATTAGGTGTTCATCATAGGAGACTATATGAAGAGATAAATAAACCGTTGATGGAATTACTGTTAGGATTTCTGTTGTGATGATATCAAAGCACAGAAGCACAAAACTGAATTAATTTCACTAGTTTTCGATTGCTTTTGCTAGTGTATAGTTTGTGATACATTGAATTTTTGTTTCCACGATGTTCGATTCGTCATCCAATGCTCTCGCTTGAGGTTGTTTACAATTGACAAGGTTGCTCGGTGCTCTCAATTTTTTATCATTTTCATATGCGATATTCGTCATATGAAAACGTTGGCAATACATTTACATATGCAGTGAATATGTAGATTCATTGAAGTAACATCTTTACGTTTCTATATGGCATATCTAGATGTGCAACAAATAAAATACACTACAATGCACAAAGCGTTATTTTAAGACAACATAATTAGTAAAAACGCTTGACCAGCTATTCTGTAGAAGTGTTTCTTGATTTAAATCTCTTCAATCACGAACTCAGTATAAAATAACACGTTTCGTTTTGCATTTTCAGTTGATTTTGATGATTATAGGTGTTGGATTAATGACTTTATGTTGCTGGTGGTATGAACCGATCATTGTGGCGATTGTACCATTTGTAGTATTGATCTTGGCTTTTATATTGGGTGACAAAATGAAACGTTTTCCACGAATATTGAGAATAATATTATTTTCAGTAAGCTGTGTATTAGTTACAGTTGGAATTATCTGCAGCATTTTGAGTTTAATCTGCAAATGATCGGAACGGGCTTATGTAAGTTGTTTTTAACATCGACTTCAATGTATCAAAGGTTTTAACGATCTGATGTTGTATGAAAATCATGTATATCACCTAATAACCAAACATAATGAAATATGCACAAAACTTCTAACTAATACATGTCTCAGTTATCTGTAATTCTCGAGTACTCAAAATAAATTCTTGTTTAGTCATTTACGTATAGTTGACGACACGGAAGCTTAACGCAAACATTTTATTTGCAAACATCAATATCTGTAGTTTCATGATGTACTAACGTTGAAAAAAAGCGACCGTTTCTTATGATGAACGGTGAGAAGCGATGACGTTTATCGTGCTAACATGCTGTTATCACTTCATGTAATTAGAGAAATTCGAACATGGCAGTCAGAATATCTGTGGATGAAAAACTTTGTATGAATGCAAATTAAATGTTTACGAAATGATATAAAACGAAATATCTTCTTTCATTCTATTCTAGATTGCTTTTTCAGTTTTGTCCTTCATTTGTTGGTATGGGGGAATGTTTGTCGTAAGTTTCTGATAAGCGACTGAATTTCAATGTCACTCTCTGTAAACACTGTGAATTTTAAAATTTCATACTCCATACTGTCACTTTAACTTTGATCCTGCCTGTAAGCGCGATGTAGATGAGTGAAGATTCGAGTAAAACTTTGTTTATTCTGTCAACAAACTTGTTGGTTGAGCATTTTTGATTGGCCGTATAATCGAACAAAGCTTTGACTGCTCACTTGCGCCGTTGAAACAGATCAACCTATTACACATTTTACACTCACTACATCAGTGAATATGCTTCACTGAATCAAATAAATACTATGTGTTTAATTTTTTACTAATATTATCAATTATTTTTTGTTACTCTAAACATGACTCTATTAACAATTACAGGTGATTGCATGGACAACATATTATTTGATGAAAAACATCACACTGGAAGATTACTCTGTACTTTATTTGACTGTTATATACACCTTTCTATATTTGGTTCTAGTTAGTATTACAAAATTTCATGTTAATTATTTCTTCCATTGTTGTCATTTTACTACAAATTTTAGTTGAAGTATCAATAATTTATTGCAATTCATCAAACAATTTAATAAATATGAACATGTTCTTTATTGTTTATGGAGAATATTTAATATGTCATCACAAACTGTCATAAGATTCATTTGTTAATCATATTTTCTCAGAACTTCATTGCGAATAATTCTTTGAATCTTTTTTATTATTATATTTAGTGCCCACTTCAGTTTTATCTTTACTTGATCTGTATTCTATCATCGAGACATTATTTGATATGACTATCATAATAACAATAACAAACTACTGGCTCCTTACAACATGTAGCTGTTGACGCACTTGTAGATCAATAAACTGTTTTGATATAAATATATAGTAAAACGTAGATTAGAACTCATCCTATCCCCACAAATGATTTAAGTGCAGCTGAGTTCAAAATGTAAAAACATTTGTACACATAACTGAATGAGCAGGATACACTTTTAAAGCACCTAGTTGCAGCGAATAGTAATCACCGTTATTCTGTCCATTGTTGAATTACTCACAACTGATTATCGACCACAAAACGTTATTACGAATGCCTACAATTCACATTTCTCCTAATTGCAGTAGATAGCACGTTTGTTTAATTTTACGATACGGTGTCTGTATTAATTGTAACGATTGATCAAAATATAAGAAAGAGTGTGAAGATTGTGACTTCACGTTTGAGAATGTACACGCCTTAGGATTAAGGCTCATATTTTATTACCGAAGAAAATTATCTATGACTTAAAAACGTTATCCGTTACTTCGTCCGAATTATGATGTTATTCAGCTTTTATACTGAACACACTGTTTAATCAAACAAACGTTTATCGGACGAATCACGATGAGAAAATCAAACGATTCAAAAAAAATGGTGATAGTAATCGGAAATAGGCAGTGACAGTGACAGGTAAATTTGTTCACTTACCATCCAAATAAAGTGATGAACAGATGAATACATTTTCGTAAACTTTCCTTACAAAATGTCTACAGAATAACTATTCGACTATGAACTGAAGGTACTGAAATTATTCGTTTACAAAGATAAGTAGACCCATAAGCAGTTATTTGAAGAGATATTTCTTGAAATGGTTATTTAACAAACAGCCTCTAGAAGTACTTCCAGTTTACATAGATAAGTAATGAATAGAAAGTAATGAACGAAACTAACTATTCATTTTAATAATGTAAATGAAATAACTCTTTCAAAATATTTCATTGGCTTATGTTCGTAAACTCCACTGATCTCTGCTGATCTACCAGAATTATCAAAATCATTTTACATTAGATAATTACTTTAAGTACAGTGATGCTAGCGTTCAACTTCAATCATAATAGTGTTCACACCAGTGATTAGTTCTTGGTGGATTGCCTTATTCACTGGGCTTATTGACATTATAATTTTGGCAATTACATAGAAAACAATTTTACAGCTGCATATTATATATTGCATATTGGCTAAAAACGTAATATTGATACTTGTTAGCTGGAATGAGACCACTATTCCAAAGAAAATGACTTACATAATATCAGTCACTGCCTAATGTTCAGTATGTTGCGAATAAATTTTGCTTCGGAAAAGTGATATACTCGCAGCTCAATCAAATTTTATTATATGTGTGGATTATTTCATCCACTGTGTGATTTATACGTTATGCAAACTGATGTTTCTTACTTATTTACTTACTTACGCCTGTTAACTGCAATTGAGCTTAGGACACCAATCAGTATTATTCAAGAAGCTCCGGTTTAAGCTTCCTTGACCATTTCTGTCGGATTTTCTTTCATTCTCCTCATATCTGTCTCCAGTTCTCAAAGTATTGTGCTCCTGAGCCATCCTCCATTTCTTAAACATTGAGGAATTGGGTGAGAGCTTGTCATGAAACGCAGTTGCGTGCGTTAAGCAGTATGTTTTAACGTCCCCAAAACATAGCTATAAGGACTGATTTGGTTGGTGCACGTTATGTTATTTCGTATAATCTCGCTGGTCGTTTTGAGTATGTTTCGACCCTCGCGTTGAGTAGGCTGCCGGTACACTGTGTACAGTGCCTTCCACCTGACAAAGACGTTTACATAATCCAGTCGATCATATAGAGGAAGATGGACGGCGGTTATAGTCAAGTTCGTCTGTAACCTGTCTTCACCTCAAGTGAGTCTGTCTGCGGTTTTCCGAGCATGATTTTGAAGATCAATCCATCGAAATAATTTTTAACGTTGTTGACTATCTTCTCCACAGTTTTGTCCTAACTACTGTGTCAAGTTTTTTCTCTCGTAGTCCACAAAACTGATAAAGAGTTGTGATCTCCATTTAACTGATTTTTCCACAGTGAACCGAAGTCTGCAATCTTTCAAGTACGCGATTTCTATGTCCTACGAGATGTTGTCTTCGAAATTTTCTGAGTCGTTTTTCAGTTTCGTTGAAGCCTCTGTATACTTTCTTGTCACCTCAAATCGTGCTGAAAATAATTTGGAACAGTATTTAATTTGCATCCACTTCTTTTATTGCCTCTACTGTGACATTTTCCGGTCTCGCTGATTTTTGTAATTGCCATACTGATGTACCCAATTGTTGATGAGCCAATCCTTATTCTGAGGTCCATACGAGCTGCTTCGAAGTCGAATGGCCTCAGTGAGGTTGAACGATTCAAGATTTCTTCAAATAGCTGTTTCGTTGTTCTTTATTGTTGCTAAAAACATTGCCTCTTAAGCTTATCACTGGCAGTTCTGATTTACGATAGTTTCCGGGAGGCGGCTTTACAAAACCGTATAGTTGTCTCACGTTTGCTTCTCTTGCAGCCTTTTCTTATGTCATTACCAGATCTTTTACTTATTTTCGTGAGTCGGCTCTGATTCTCGTCTTTACTTGCTCGATGTTCGTAACTGCTCAGTCTTTGCCCTAACTGTCTCTGCTCTTGTTCGGCTGAAAGTGATCGCTACTCACTTATTTCTCCTTTCA